TATGTGAATGTTTTTTATAATAATTAAAGAGTAAATAAAAATAAATTAATTATTTTACAATTTTAAACTATTGTATTATTAGTAATTTTAGGATATTATAATTTTTTATTTTATATGTTATTATATATGTTTTTATTTTTTATTTTATATGTATAGTTTTATATTTTGGGTTATGGCTAACTAGAAAAAATAAAATAACAAAAATTAAAATGTACTTTATAAGGCAAGAAAATAAATAAAGAAAGAAAGAAAGAAAGAAATATTTATTTATTTATTTCCAATCCCCATATGGGTTGTATAGAGGGTTACTGATAAACCTTTTCAGTCATAGTGTATAATATTCCTGCTATTTTTAGGCCAATCTAATCTCTGTTTTATGGTAATCTCTGCTCTGCTCATCTAAGCAAGTCTTGTCCTAAAAAGCCATTAGGAACATTATGCGTTATTGCCACCTGCTAGTTACATAATCGCAGCTCAGGTGTGCCACTCACGCATGACATCCGCAGGAATGTGTCATACGCCGAGCTTTTCTTCGAGAAGCTCACAGTCACATGTTGTGACACTCCTGGTTTCAGCTCTCGCTCTCTCATGCAACACGCTGTCTGAAGACAAATAAAAGCAAACCAACAAGACACAATGAAGTGGATGCTTAGGTCAGGTTAACACTGCCATTCGAGATCAGCAGGTCAAAGACAAAAAGAAAAGCGTACCTCCCATTGTTGTTTTTCATCTGTTTTGTAATTAGAAACATTTGTAAAACTAACGGATTATATATAATCTGTTTTGTTTGCTGTTTTGTTTACCAAATCACTTGTCCTAGGCCTGCAGTATTTATTTTATTTTGTTTTACATCCATTTTCCAAAATGCTTGTCCTATGTAGGGTCATGAATTTTTTGTTTTGTTTTGTTTTCCATATTGCTTGGGTCTCATATTTTGTAATTAATAAATTATTTTATTTATTGTTTGTTTTAGTTTCGTTTTTTTTCCAATCAGTTGTCTTTTGTAGGGTTGTGAATTTTTTGTTTGTTTGTTTTCGAAATCACTTGTCCTATAGGGTGGCCAATTTCATTCATTAATTTTTTGTTTGTTTGTTTTGCATTTTTAATCCATTTTCCAAAGTGCTTGTCCTATGTAGGGTCATGGATTTTTTTGGCTTCGTTTTTTTCGTTTTTTGTGTTTTGTTTTCTTTTGTTTTTTGTTTTAGTTTAGTCTTTTGTAGGGTCGCGAAATTTTGTTTAGTTTTAGTTTGTTTATTTTGCTTTCCAAATTACTTGTCCTATGTGGAGTAGCAGAGTTTATTTATTTATTGTTTGTTAATTGTATTGTTTGTTTATTTTATTGTTGATTTTAGTTTTATTTTTTTTGTATTTATTGTTGTTTGTTGTTTGTTTGTTTTATTTTATTATTTTATTTTTCAAATGAAAAGATTTCGCTCACATCCACTATTTATGAAGAATAAGAATGTATTTATTATTTATACTTTTGTAAGGTGAAGGAACCAGTGGAGAGAAAAAAATCGGATCACTTGAAAATGTTTGGTATCAGTTTTCTGTTTTATGTAATTAAATAGCAGGGAAACCCCCAGATTAAATGTTTGTATATTTAATAACATACTTTAATTTTTTCTACGCTCTCAATGCTGTATTGTGAAAACAAGTCACTCTAACAAAAGCATTTACGTTGTGACTACATTCACAAAATACATTACATTCACAAAACACTGTACTGTTAATATTACCTTCAGTAACGTAAAATCTCTTCTTTAAGAAATGAAAACCTCTGAACCATGAGAGGACCAAGTAAAAATGTTATTACAAACCATTCCATAGTCAAACATTCTTCATTTGCACGCAAAACAGCACTGTTTAGTAAACGTGGGATTTTGGCAACACTGTCAATTCATTCAGCTGAAACTCACCCAAGACAGTTGCTCTTATAATCAAAATCAACCCACACCTGCCAAACACACTCAAGCACACACCTAACTTATATGCCAAATATGACAATATGCAAATCACAAAAACACAGGCATTCTTATTCACACAGGTCTGCGTTTCAAGATCTTCATGCAACAGAACGGAATTACAGTCTCCAGTTCAGAGTTCAAACGGCTCCGTCTGCTCCTCAAGAAGACCCCAGCCTACTCGAGGGGCCGTAATCTTTTGTGTTACTTTTGACTTACGTTACTTTTGTGTTACTTTTGGTCACCTGAGCTGGGCTTGCTTATTTATTTTTAATAAAATAAAAAAACAAAAAAACAAAACTTATATTTTTGGCAATTGTAAAGGCCCTTTCATGCCAAAAGTGAAATTAATGAGCCTCAGGCTTAAGGAAGTGCCTCCGCACTTACTCCCGATTTCTCTCAACAAAGGACAAGAGAGGTGTCAGTGAATAAATTGGAAAACATAGTAACTTGCGTTTCTTATTAGAAAAAGTAACTTAGATATTTTCTTGTAAATTTAAAAGTAATGCATTACTTTACTAGTTACTTGACATGAGTAATCAGATTACATAACTCACGTTACTTGTAATGCACTACCCCAAACACTGCATATTAGTACCTAAATGGTGCATTTTAGTACTTAAAAGGTGCAATGTAGTACCTTTTGAAAATGTACAGTAGTGTGACAGCTTTTGTAGCTGAGAGTGTACCCTTAAAATGGGTACCTTTGTACAAAAAACAACTTTGTACCTTATTTGACCCTAAAGGTGCATATTAGTACCTTAAGAGTACATATCACTACTCTAAAGTACTGTGTACCTCATGCACAGAATATTACTGTACCTTTAGGAGTACAACTATCTCTAGGCAAGTACCCTTTAAGGGACATCTTTGCACCTTAAATACCCCTAAAAGTATATAAGGTACAAATATGTCCTTTTAAGGGTACTTTCCTCATAAAAGTTGTACTCCTAAAGGTACAGTTACAGTGGGTACGGAAAGTATTCAGACCCCCTTCAATTTTTCACGGGGTGCTGTGTGTACATTAATGAGGAAAAAAAATTAACTTAAATGATTTTAGCAAATGGCTGCAATATAACAAAGAGTGAAAAATTGAAGGGGGTCTGAATACTTTCTGTACCCACTGTATATTCTGACAGTGTATGAGGTATCTGAATCCACAGAATGCTACCTGATAAGCCATTGACTGACTAGATAGCGAGGCAACAGTGCCTTAGGTTTCGGACAGAGTCCATGGCTAGACAGAGTTAGTCTGCCAGCAAGACCAACATCACTGTACTAGTCTAGAGCAGCAGGGAAGTTTATGCTGGTCTAAGCTGGCCTTTTCAACTGTGTTTACAGTGGATGAGAACATCGATGTGACCAGCAATGAACCCGAGAGGAGTTCTCCAGAGTACGGCAGTGCTCTCTACCCCTCACGCGGACCAGAGAGTGTATATGAAACCTCAGCCCGCCTGCTCTTCATGTCTGTTAAATGGGCGAAGAACTTGCCGGTGTTTTCCCATCTACCTTTCAGAGACCAGGTGAGAGTCTATTATTCCTCACTCTACTACCACCAGATGAGTATTTTCTGATTTGTTAATCCAGAAACAGAGGGATTTCAAGCCAAAGAAACATAGTTACGTAGTTTTTTTTAGTTATACGGTATAATCGGTAGGTAGAATAATCTGCAAGTGCCATTCAAAATAGCAAATATTGTTGATTAATCTGCCTAACTTCAATTTACTGATCCATAAATTTTAACCCAGCACTCTTTGTGATTTTAGGTGATTCTACTTGAGGAAGCATGGAGTGAGCTGTTGCTTCTGTGTGCAATTCAGTGGTCGCTACCTCTGGACAACTGCCCCCTGCTGTCCCTGCCGGACCTCTCACCCTCAGGACAGGGCAAGGGAAGCCCCTCGGCCGCGATGTGAGGGTCCTGCAAGAAGTGTTTAGCCGCTTCAAGCCCCTGCAAGTGGATCCGACTGAGTTTGCATGCTTGAAAGCCATTGTTTTGTTTAAACCAGGTAGGTTTTTCCCTCTTCTTGCCACAAGGGGGCATAAATGATAGCCTACATTACAAGAACTGAGCTAGTGGGGTATAAATGTTGTTCTGGGTGAGTAATCTTTGCATTCTGTAACAGAAACACGAGGACTTAAAGACCCAGAACAGGTGGAGAACCTACAGGATCAGTCCCAAGTGCTGCTAGCTCAACATATCCACACTCTTTACCCAAGTCAAGTCGCCAGGTGAGCAAATATACAAACATGCATTTGCATAAAGAAGTTAAACTGTATTTTTGAGAGTGGACACTAATGCAAATTATTCTTATGAATCACTTTCCTTAGGTTCGGCAGACTATTGGTTCTCCTTCCATCCCTTCACTTTGTGAGTTCGGAAAGAATCGAGCAACTCTTCTTCCAGAGAACCATCGGGAACACGCCCATGGAGAAACTACTGTGTGACATGTTCAAAAACTGAGGAGCCCTTCCTGAAAGACTGTTTTTAGAGGAATGAAATCCTCAAGAATTTAGGTGCTTTGCTTTACTGCCATGCTAGTTACGATGCCAGTGAATCTGCCTGAATGCTAAAAAAGCGCAAATGTATGTAAGCCACATTATTTGTTTGCATAGGTTGCTTATTTTGTCTCATTATGTAATTTTATCTCTCTTTTTATTTGTGTTACTGTAGTTTTTATACCTATAATATTGCTATGCATCTCCATTATTTGGAATCTCAGATATTTGGCACAGCCTGTTTATGTATATCATGTTGAGAATGCAGATTGCCTGTCAAGGCCATTATAATGCAAGATTATTTAGAGTATGTTTAATGATCAGTTTAAAATAAATTGTTAACAAATACCCCTTTTGAAGGGGGCACTTTTGTAAAAGCTGAAAGATATGCCTCATATTTGTAGGACGTATAAATAAAATATATTATTAATCTTTCTGAATTAAATTTTATTTGCAGAAGCAATCCTTTTGAATGATGCATGTCACTTCCGGTACTCTAGAGGGCGCCGTTGCATTGGCCCTCAGCACGTGACGTTACGTTAGACGTCGCAAAACGCGGAAGTGCTTCTTGTTTTTGGCTGTCTCCATGGATTGAGCTCAAAATAACAATAATATAAGGTCATAGGCATCACGGAGGGAGCGATCTCTTCTGACACGGCATGACAATGTTCGGGAAGTCTTCAGGTTATGAGTATCAGTGTCTGTCGCAGAGAGATTCAGTGTACAGTGACACTCCTGGACTGTTTTCATCTCATGCTGCATTCGCTCACAGTAATTGTGATCAGAGAGGACTTTCGTTTGATTATGTGCCTAAAGTCTCTCAAAACGACTTCACAGGTATTCACTCCACGGTCACACACATTACGGTGCACATATTAAATAAGTAAATATGACTATAGTTTAGAACACAGTGTGTGTGTGTGTGTGTGTGTGTGTGTGTGTGTGTGTGTGTGTGTGTGTGTGCGTGCGTGTGTGCGTGCGCGCGCGACTCATACTTAACCAATGTAATACTATTATAATGCTATATTGTAACGTTATGCTATGACATAATGTTTTTAATATTTGTATTCTTTTGTTATTTATATATATACAATAGTTATATATAAAATTTAAATATATATGTGTGTATTTATCAATATAATAATTAGGGCTGGACGATATGGCCAAAATTGATATCACGGTATATTTCTTTATATATATTATAATACTTTATATATTATACGATATTTTTAATTTATTTATATTTAATAATTATACTCTTTTTTTAACAGATAAATCTCAGGGATTGTTGTCCTGGATTTGCAACTTGATCGTAACATTCCTGGTTTTCCTAGTTACCTTCATAACTTTTCCCATATCTGGATGGTTTGTCCTAAAGGTCAGTTCGAAGCGAATTTTTAGGAGAGTTTTAGCCTTTTTAAGCACTTCTTAAATATACAGTATCATTTTCAGGTTGTACCGAACTATGAGAGGATTGTTGTTTTTCGTCTGGGCCGGATCCGTCCTCCTAAAGGTCCAGGAGTGGTTCTGGTTCTGCCTTTCATTGATCAGTGGCAGAGAGTTGACCTGCGGACCAGAGCCTTCAGCGTCCCACCATGCAAGGTACAATGAAAAAAAGTGTTTTTTTTTAGTTCAGTTACATTTAAAAACTCATCTTTCTACAAACCAAGTATTTTGAGATTCCCACAATATTCCCTGCCAAAAGATCACCACCAAAGACAGTGCTCTGGTGTCGGTTGGAGCGGATATCCAGTTCCGGATCTGGAGTCCGGTGATGTCCGTGGTGGCGCTGCAGGATCTGAACGCCTCCACCCGCCTCACCGCACAGAACGCCATGATGCAGACCCTGAGCAAAAAAACCCTGAGAGAGATACAGACCGAGAGGATCAAACTCGGTGAACATCTCGGGGTGAGAGACAAATACGAAATATTACACTTTTAACCACTATATTCCAGGATTTTTAAAGTTAAAGGGGTAGTTCATCTTGATGGCCTGAGGGTGAGTAAATTAACAGCAAACCTTTATTTCTGGGTGCACTGTCCCTTTAAGCTTTGAAGTGCCTGTGTGCTGCAGATGGACATGAATGAGATGACGAAGCCGTGGGGGCTGGAGGTGGACCGTGTGGAGCTGATTCTGGAGGGGGTGCTCCGGGAACCGGACGGGGGACACGCGGGGCCCATCATTATGCCCCCGTCTGTCCCTGGGCTGGAAGGACTCACCGGACCCATACAGCAGCTCGCAATGCACTTCCTGAGCCAGACGGCTGCGTCCCAATCCAGTCAAGGTGATGTTAGGCTACTTGGATCTGTAATAGGGGTGTAACGGTACACAAACATGACGGTTTGGTGCGTACCTCGGATTTCGGTTCGGTATGGTTTCGGTACAGCAGGAGGAAAAAAATAAACATAAATTGCTTTTTTTTTTTAATTTAACAATGGTTTACTGAACAAAATGCTCTTACTTTAAATAAATTCAATTATACTTAAAATTTTCTTAGGGATAAAAATCTACCTCAGCTTTTGCTCTAAACTATAGGGAGCCCTTTTACTATAAGGTTATGTAGACGCTGATGACTTGTCTTACCTCAGTTTTGACGTCACAGTTCGGTATGGTTTCGGTACAGCAGGAGGAAAAAACTAAACATAAATTGCTTTTTTTTTAAATTTAACAATGGTTTACTGAACAAAATGCTCTTACTTTAAATAAATTCAATTATACTTAAAATTTTCTTAGGGATAAAAATCTACCTCAGCTTTTGCTCTAAACTATAGGGAGCCCTTTTACTATAAGGTTATGTAGACGCTGATGACTTGTCTGAGGTAAATGAAATGCTACGTGACATACCGAATTTACGTACCGAAAATTTTCGGTACAAATACGTGTACCGTTACACCCCTAATCTGTAATAAATTGCTTGCAGTGTTCCTCAATTGTAAGTCACTTTTGGATAAAAGTGTCTGCCAAATAATTAGATGTAAATGCATGATTCCCTTTTTTTTTCCCAAACCAGCATGATAAACAGAATCTCATTTCGTGGTTTCTCCAGATTCAGTGAGTTTCACAGATGAGCTGCGTTCAGCTGCAGCTGTGAGTGTCAGTCGTGTGGATGGACTGATGGATGCGGTCCGGTCTGTGCTGTCAGAGCAGCTGGTTCATCAGGTGCGAGCCTGTTACCGCTTTCAGATCACTACTGACTCTGGACAGAACAACTGCTACTATGTGGACCTGACACAAGGTAAGACTGAGAGAATTAAAAGCACTCTAAACACTCTTTACTAGGGATGCACCGATAGGATTTTTTTTTTTTGGACGATACCGATTTTAACAAACAACTATTGGCCGATTCCGATACCAATATAGGTAAATTGCATAAAGCAGGGCTTAAAAAAAAATGTAAAGAAATTTGATCGGTTCACTCAGAGCAGAATCGGTATTTGAACGTTTCTGTTCCTGCGTTCCTCTGTATTATTACCGTTCATAAACCGGTTTGAGTAGAAAACATACCAGTTAATAACGTTATTTAAAAAAAAATATTATTATTATTTTTCTTTGCCTATAATAATAATAATAATGATAATAATAATAATAAAGTACAGCGTTTTCTCTACTCAGAAAGAAAAAAAAAAACATGGAGAGAGCCTTGATCTGGTACTTGCGCTTAGTCATAGCCAATACAGCATCATCTTTTCTAGATTTTGGCCAAATATATTAAACAAAAGAAAAATCTGTCAACACTTTAAAGACATTAAAGTTTTTTTTTTAAGATATTTAAAAATGTTTGCAGCATGGATAAAAACACTACTCGTATAAGCGTTTTGAGAGGAAAAAACAGCCTAAATTATTAGTTTGTACGTCGCATTTTATTATTATATTCAGAAATAATGTAGGCTAAAATACTGGTAAATAAGGCAAACTGTTTACAAACATAACACAGTTAGGCTATTTTAGTTCTCTTCTCTCCACAACAAATCCTCTATAAAGTTGTATTTAGGCTAAATATAAACGTCAAGCCAAAACAAATTAATTTAAAAGTGAAACCGAAGCCTGCCTCTCTCACTCTGCACGAATCCAAATGTTTCCATATTTGCAACGCATCTGGATGCTAAAATATTATTTATTATGTAAACTATAGGCTTTGTTCTTCCCTCACATTATCAACGTAAAACATCATCCTTCGCATATAGGCTATAATCAGCAGTGAGGCGCTGGTCACACTGAACGACATAGACTGTACTATGGACTCTTTAAATTGAGCAGTGTAACTTTTGATGTTTCTTTAACTGTCTTTTATTTTGATAATGAACAGGCTGCGATGTCAAGTTAGTAAAAATATGTTGTATGTGCATGTGAGGTGCCGACGCAATCACTGCATTGTTTTCCCAACTGTTACTCCGTAATTTATGGTCATACCAACGCTGTTTGGTTATAGCCTACAGATAGAAGCCAAACATCATTCAAAACTGTAAAGCTTTTGCAAAATAAAGAAAACGGCTTTCTGCCGTCTTGGTTTCCATTCCGTGAACTTCGGAGCGCATTACAATTATCCGAAACTCAGCACAATTTTTTCTTTCGTTTGGTTAATCTGTTAATGATTTAAGTGAAATATATTTAGTGTATAGGCCTATATATTCCTTTTTATGTAGCCTATATAGTTCTATTCTGTTTTCTCCGTTCACAGAAGCGCTGCAGGTGCGTGATGTGACCTTGTGTGAATCCGTGTTCTACACTATCCTGCCATTTTTGCTGGTTTCAAACACACAAAAAGCTGCATATTACCTGCCATTCATTTTCACTTAAATGTAGGCCTAATGCTTGGCGGTTCGTGACATATCCTCGGATAAACTCTATTGTGACTTATGAATGTGACAGTGACTTATGATGAATTTACAGCTGAGAGCGGGCATTTCACTCGTTGGATGCGTCAGCGCCACGTCTGCATAGGCCGTATTATGTAGTCTGACAAACATATTACCTGCCATTCATTTTCACTTAAATGTAGGCCTAATGCTTGGCGGTTCGTGACATATCCTCGGATAAACTCTAACGCATTGCCATTGTGACTTATGAATGTGACAGTGACTTATGATGAATTTACAGCTGAGAGGGGCATTTCACTCGTTGGATGCGTCAGCGCCACATTTGCATAGACCGTACTATGCCGTCTGACAAACTATATTTTGTACAGATTTTATTTTGTCTTTTGTCTTTAATTATTTTGCCCAGAGAAAAACGTTGGATTATGCAACAGACATGCAACTCATTGTCTCCATGCAGTTAATTAATAAACCATCGGTATCGGCCCTTTTCATGCTATTTCCTATATGCTGGTGGCTTTAAAATAATCAAAAATCGGCCGATAAATATCGGTGGCCGATACATCGGTGCATCCCTACTCTTTATCATAAAATTTTGCATTACTTGAAATAAAATAAACCGTAACTGAAATAAAATGCAATATACAAAACTTTTTTCGGGGCAACATTTCTCATTTTCATTTAGTTTATCTTGATGTCCT